TCCATTTCCTTCTCTTTCTTAGCCTTTCACTCCCTTACTTCTCTCATATTTTTAGCACCTTATATGGCAGTTGAGGTTTCAGCTGTGAACCAGCAGTGAGATCAGTGATTGTGTGACCATGAGCAAGTTACTTCATCTCTCTGTACAATGATATTATAATATCTACAGTACAGGGTCATTACTGTAAAGATTAGATTAAACGCAATTCTATATTAAAGCTCACGGAAGATCCTGTGGATGATTTAGTTATCTCATTGGCTTGTAAACAAATTGTTGTAATAAAAATAAGAATGGCCACCTGGCAGGGGTCACTTGATCTATGCCAGACTGGGAGCTAAGCACTTGGCATGAATTATTATGTTTAATACCCATAATAACCCATGAGATGAATATTATTAATACCCATAATAATCCATGAGATGAATATTGTTATTTCCCATTTTATGACTGAGAACATCAATAGTAAGGCACAGAGGAATTAAGTAATATTGGTAATGCAGTTAAAGAGCTGAGCAAGGATTTCAATCCTGGCAGATGACACTCAAATCCAGAAGGTGGTCCTTCTAGGCCATGGCTACTGGGGTTAGGGAGAGGCTTAAAAAGGTGGGTTCTGGGCTGGTTTCCAAGAAGTGGGTCTTAGGTAACCTGCAGGTGTTTCTCATCCACAATTTGTAATGCACCAGGGAGCACCTCAGATTCTGTATCTCCCTCTCCCTCAGGCACTTCAGGTAGATCTCATAAATGGAATGGAGCCAAATGAACCTCTCCTGGTGCCTGCCCCAGTCTCTCATCCTCCCTCCCCTGGACAGCTACAATATAGCCTCCAGCCAGCCTTCCTGCTCCAGTCCCTTCCTACCACACCTGCCAGTGGATCCAATCATACCACTAGAGCACAGATCTGACCTCTCTAACTCTGCACATCCAAACCTTGGGTGGCCCCACTGCCTACAGGATCAAGGCTGAGCTCCCAGGTGAGAGACAATATATGAACCTTGAATTCACACAGAATGTAGTTCAAATGCCAGCTCTACCTTTTCCTGACCTCTATGCCTCAGTCGCCTTGGGGATGAGTGTGGATTCATGGAGAGGAGAGATCTGAAGCACTTAGCAACTTCATAGGCAAGCTGTGCTCTGCTCCTCTGCTGCCCTCCTGCCTGATCCACCACACCCTACCCACACAACCACCTACTTTTGGACTATTTGGGGCCATCAGGGCCAACTCTGTCTTTCTGGGACATGTTTTCAAGTGTTTGAAGCCATTTCTTGTCGAAGCTAACAGCCCACTTCTTCCAGTCGTTTCTCACTGGGATGTGTCTTGGAGTCCCCTCACCCCCTTGGTTACTGTCCATTGACCTGCATCATGCACTTTTGGGTTTGGTGCTACATCATTATTCTTGGGTGACTCACTCAGGAGTGGCAACCAGGACAGTTGCTCTTGGTGCCATCCCATGAGGGCAGGACCACTGCTCCCTGCTCACTGCCAGGCACGGCTCTGTTTCCTCACCTGCTCCTCTCCTCCCTCATGCCTACTTAGCCTCCAACCTCCTGCTCCCTGGATCCACAAGGGAGGGGAGAGACCTCAGAGGGCACCTTGACCAGGTTTCCCAGGTTTCATCATCACAATTTTTGTCATATGTACACACTATTTGTCCTGTTACCTACTTTATTCTATTTTGTAAACTCATATTTTTTACTTCTGGGAAAATCTGATATTGATTCCATAAATATAAAACCCCTTATCTTAGAGGGTAGCTATAATAAGATATATTTATTTTTATTTATTTATTTTTTTAAAGATATATTTATTTTTTTTAAGATATATTTAAATTAAAGTGAAATATGCCCATTTTTGTCTCACATGGTAATGTGGCTGCCACACTTGGGGAAATGCAAATCCAACCACATCCCACTACTCAGAGGGAGAAACTATGGTGGGCAAGGGGCAGGGTCTGAGCTGGAGCCAGGTGGGGTTCAGGGCACTTCACAGGGCCCCTCTTATTTCTCCTCTTTCCTCTCCAGCTCATTTCCCCAAGTCTGCTCTGTCTGTACCTGCTGCTCTCTGGCTCTCCTCTTCTGCTCCTCCATTCCCTTCCCTCTTTCCCCTCCTCCTCCTTTTCCTCTTCCTTCTTCTTTCTGAGTTCTCCCTTTCTATTCTGTTTTCCTAGAACCACCTTCTCTTTTGCTCTCACTTGAAATTTAAAGATCACTCTGGCTGTTGGATTCCACCCCTTCAAGATGGAAAGGTTTAAGTTCCCATTTTGGGAGCAAGGATAAGAGACTCTACAATGTTGTCTAGTCTTTTAGCACTTGTAGATTTCAGTTTTTCCCCCTTTGGAAAATGGGGTTGATAATCCCTGCCTTTCCCAGATAAAGCATCAAGACTGGGTGTCTTGTTTTTATTTTTTTGTTTTTGTTTTTGTTTTGGGGAGTGTTTTGTTTTTAAAGATTTATTTATTTATTGGAGCAGGGGGAGGGGCAGAGGGAGAGAATCCTCAAGCAGATTCCTGCTGAGCACAGAGCCCTACCCGGGGCTTGATCCCATGACTCATGAGATCATGACCTGAGGCGAAACCCAGAGTCCAGATGCTCACACAACTGAGCCACCCTAGGTGCCCCAAGACTGGGCATTTTTTTTTGACTGGGCATTTTTTTTAAAGGGCCTTGGAAAAAAAAAAGGGGGGCCTTGGAGGAAATTGGGGCACCTGGGAGGCTCAGTCAATTGAGCCTTTCCCTCTGCCCCTCTCCCCAACCAGCACATGCACATTCTCTCTCAAAGAAAGAAAGAAAGAGAGAGAGAAGCAAAAGAATGGACCTCGGCCTCTAAAGGATGTTCCTAATTGGGGTGAAGTGCCCCACCCAAAACCCTCCCACTCAATGACCTCTGCCATGCTGCTCACTGGGGTTGCAACATGCGACAGCATGGGCTTCCCGCCCTGTTCAGCCTTGTCCTCATTCTTCTCCTGCATGCTGCTTCTGCTAGATGTTTTCCTTCTCCTGCCATACACTGTCCCAGTACCCTTGACTCAGAAAGTTCCCTCTGAATTCTTGAGAAGCAAATCTTTGAACGTGTATCATCAGATGGAATCATGCAAAGCCCCTGATTGTATAAAGGGCATCTCATTCAATGTCCTCCATACTCTGCCAGGTGAGGGTCATAACTGAAGGCTGCTGAGGGGAAGGTATAAAGCTGGTGAGGAGTTGAGGGGGGCACTCAGTATTTTTCACTCCCTGAAGAAGAGCAATAAAAAGATCAGGTGCTCCTGGCCTGGCCCCCATCAGAGGACCTGCCTACTGACTCCCCCATGTACACACTGATCCCAGTGGTGCTGGGCAGAGACCACATGGGAGTCCTTGGTCTAGGGGAGAGCAACTCAGAGTTGGTCCATCATATATTCATTCTATAAACACTGGCCATGCAATAGGTGATCTGCTTGGGAATTTTTGGGCATGAAAATGGGACATTGATCTTGGTGTTCATGGTCACTTGGGAGACACAGACACACAACCTCATCTGGGTGACGTGTGACACTGTGCTCCTACGCCCATGTGTTGCTGCATGTCCTGGATGACCAGAGCAGGGAAGGCAGGAAGCCGAGTATTTCCGTGAGAAGTAGAATGGAGCACATTGGAAGGAGGGGTTGGGACTTGAAGCAGCAGTGATAAAAGTTCAAATAGGGGGTCCCAGCCTGGGGTCCTGGAATGGAGGACAGAGTGAAGTGGGTACCATATTCCTCTCTGTCTGACAAGGTCACTTCAGTCTCTATGAGCAGCACTGCTCATTATGATCTACAAAGCCCTCCTGGGGCTACCAGTCCCTTTCACTGTCCAAACCTCAGCACAGCCATCAACATCAAGTGCATTCCCTACTTTCCTTCCAGCAAAACACTGGCCAATTCCTTCAATGTTCCCCCTCCTCACCTATACCCCTTGTCTCAGGTTGGGGTCTTTAGAACAGACCCTGAAAGGAGGATTCAGGGGCAAGTGTTTCATTAGGCAATGGTTCCAGAGGGAACCAACAGGACAGAGGGGAAGCAGAGAAGAAGGGAAGGGATCAGCAGGGTCAGCTGCACAGAGAGGAACTGGCTTGACCCAGTCGGGATATCAGGAAGTGGTGTAGGTCATGCTGTATCTGGAGTTTGTATCCCTCCAGCAGACATATGTCAAGGTCTGCCCCAAGGATGTAAGTTTCTAGGTACTTCCCACTTTTGTGGGGAGCCTGCTGGATAGGTGGCTCTGGCACTAGAAACTCAAGGCCATCAAAAGCCAGTGTGTGTGAACAAGGTGAAGGGGTCCAAGGACATATGGACAATGAGATGTTGTTGAAGCTCCATGTCTGCTCAATCAGCACCTGTAATAGTTTATTCCGTACACTTGCTCACGTATCCACGTCCCCACTGGAAGTCTGGAACATAGCACTTGCCTAATAAGAGTTGGTATATGTCAGCTCAGGTGAATGCACCTGGGTGGCTCAGTCAGTTTCGTGTCTGGCTCTTGGTTTCAGCTCAGGTCATGATCTCAGGGTTGTGAGATTGAGTCCCACATCAGGCTTCCCTCCAGGCATGGAGCCTGCTTGAGATTCTCTCTTTCCCTCTCCCTTTGCCCCTCCTCCACCAAAAAACAGACTTGGGGAATGAATGAATGAATGAATGAATGAATGAAAGCAAGGAGATAGGGTGACTTTACCCATTTTCGGCCAAAGAAACTAAAGTTCAGAAAGGTGAGTGACTTATCCAGAATCCCACAGGGAATGAACAGCACACCAGGGATCCTCATCAGCCTTCTGACTACTCATCCAATTCTCTGCTTCACTTAAGCTGGGCAATCCTCTCCTCCTCCAGCCTTTCTTAGAAACCACATAACCCACATAACCCCTGACTCAGCTAGGCAACAACTTCCTCTTGGCAGAATTCATAAGCCTCTAGGACTTTCAAGGCAGCCTGGAGGGGTTGGGGGAGGTTGCATCAGTGCATGTTTCCTCCTAACTGCCCCTATAAAAGGCAGCAGGAGGTTGGGGTGGTCTGAAAGGAACTGTGGCCCTCTCTTCCCACACCCCAGCTCTAGGTCCTGAACTCCTTCTCCAGCAAATGGCAGGCCTTGCGACCTTTGTGGTTAGCCTCCTGCTTGTGACCTTGTGTGCCCACTGCATCGATCCTGCAGGTAAGACCTCCAACTGTACCCCAGGGCTGTCAGGTGGGTCAGTCATGCCAAGAACATGGCTGAGATGGCACAGCAAAGAGGAGAGGAGCAACCAGGCTGGGTTGGAAGGAGATGCTGAGGAGTGGCAGCACAGTGCCTGGGCTGGAGGTGTTAATGTAGGGGGTGTGCTTGGGCTCCAAAGCCCAGAGTCTCAGGGAGGCTGGGAAAGAACATAGCTCTCCTCTCTGCTGTGTTTTAGGCTCTGTGTCCATCCCCTCTTCCTGCTGCATGTTCTTCATTTCTAAGAAAGTTCCGGAGAACCGAGTGGCTAGCTACCAGCTGCTCAATGGGAGCGTCTGTCCTAAGGCAGGAGTGGTGTGAGTATCTCCTTCTTCCTGGACACCTGGCAGGAGAGGGGGGAGTGAGCCTCCAAGGTCACCCAGGGGTAAAATCAGGAGGACCTGGCTCTCTAATCCTGGGGGAGCCACCCCACCTCCCCGAGCCTCGGGTACCTCCCCCATGAGATTGGGAAGAGAACTCAAGCAACCATCATTTCTTGAGCATCACACATATATGAGGCACTGTTTGGGGCATATAACATTGTCTTAACTAACCCTCTCGACCATTCTATGAGCTAGATATGATTATTCCCTTTTACAGAGAACAGCTGAGGTCCAGAAAGGTGACCTGCTCAAGGTCACTGGGACTCCAGATAACTTCACAGCTGCCTCTCACACAAGGCAGCAAGTGTGAACTCACTTGGTAACAGTGGCCTACTGTAGAAATGTGACATTGGTATTAGTAATAATTTTGCCCACTGGCACCAAAGCCCAGCACCCCCTAGCTCAGAGCCGGCTTGGGAGAGGGCATCCCACCGCCTCCTCCCTGCTCTGGCACCTATATTAGTCATGTTTCCTCGCATGGCATGTGAACTGGAGGCATCTGCCTTTATTCATGGGGACTTTCAATGCATTTTCTCCTCTCTTCTCCTCTCTGTGGGTAGAGATTTTGTATCTTCAGACCTAGCATTATCTTTTTTTTTAATATAGAGTATATTTATTTATTCATGAGAGACACAGAGAGAGAGGCAGAGACATAGGTAGAGGGAGAAGCAGGCTCCCCGGGGGGAGCCTGATGTGGGGCTCCATCCTAGGACCCCGAGATCAGGATCTGAGCCGAAGGCAGATGTTTCACTGACTGAGCCACCCAGGTGCCCATAGATTCAGCATTATTTAAAAGCAAGGCTGGGCCTCCCCCATCTGACAGGAAGGCTGTCGAGCATAAACAACTGATGGGCAGAAATGCAGACACATAGAGAGAAGGCCATGTGTCAGGTGCTGGCTAGGAGGCTCCGGGCAGCAGCTTGCCCTCTGTGGGTATCAACACTTACCTTCTCATCTAGTGAAGTGGTCTGAGGTTCCTGCCAGCTCTCAAGTGTGCCCTGTCACCCTTCCCACAGCTTCACCACCAAGAAGAACCAGAAGTTCTGTGGCGATCCCCAGCTGCATTGGGTCCAGAAGTTGATGAAGATCATAGAGGCCAGGAGGAAGAAGGTGTCTCCTGGGGTCAGGGCAATGAGCACCAAAGCCCTGGTGCAGAGGTACCCTGCCAACAGCACCTCCATCTAAGCACTACCCAGCCCTCAGCCTGGGGCCTGTGAACCAGTAGTGAGAGCGGGGAGAACTAATGTCCTGTTTCCTAGCATCAGTCTATTAAAAAACCCAGGGCAGGGCAGGCCTGCTCTGGCGGACTGAGCAACCACTCCAAGTGTCCTGGGCCCCTTGCTTTCCCTGAGCTGGAGAAACTCCCAGAAGGAAGGTGGTGGCTGCTGTTGGTCCTCCTCCTGAGCTAGTGCGGACCGTTCTCTGCTTCCCAGGCTCCTTCAGAACCCAGGAGCGTAAGGCCCAACCTGCAGACAAACTCGGCTTGCACCTAAAAGCTTAGGCTACAACTGGCTTCTGTGGGTCCTCTGGTCTTGCAGTGGGACCTGTGGGCTGTCTATCTGTCTGTCTGGGCATGGATGACCTTTAACAGCTGCGGCTCTTCATAACATTGCAGATGCCCCAAGCTTGTCCCAGTTCAAGAATCCCAGATGAATAAAAATCCAAGAAAATATAGGGCTCTTTTGCCACACGCACTACCAGATCCTGGCCTTCCTTGCACGCATCTCATGGAATGTGATTAATGAAGTTTAGAAGGACTTGTTGGTTTCTGTAATGAAATGGACCTGGAGGGGGACGCTTGTGGGTAGCTCAGTGGTAGAGCATCCGCCTTTGGCTCAGGTAGTGATCCCAAGGTCTTGGGATCAAGTCCCACATCGGGCTTCCTGTGGGGAGCCTACTTCTCCCTCTGCCTTTGTCTCTGTAGTTTTCACGAATAAATAAATAAAATCTTTTAAGAAATGGACGTGGCGGATCAAGATGAGGGGCCAGCCTAGGTAGTTTTTAAATTTCTTTGTGAAGATATGGTTTGGAGAAGGCGTTCTGCTTTGTGGCATGGCTTGCTCTGTGCTGCTTTGGGGGAGAAGGACCTGTGGTGCCTTTAAAGCTGGTCTTTTCCTACACTTGGAGGATGAGAAGATGGAGGGGGGGCCCTGGGGCAGGGAGAGGGAATCCAGGATGTTTTTTCCCCACTATGTATAAGGTACCATGTGATTTAGATGTCAAGAGTGTGGACACACTTGCTCAAAAAACAATTCAAATAAAATGTGATTTTCCCTTTGAAGGTGATCGTATCTTGCCTATTCTTTTCCTGGAGGGACAGGGGTCTGGGTATGAACAATAGTGTGCCCCAGAGAGCATCCTGAGTGGCCCATCGGAGGGTCTAAAGGCAGCCTGAATCCAGGGCATCCTAGGAAAGATCTTGGGCTGCTCTTGGAAGTTCTGATATGAGCTTTGTAAAACATTCGTGCACAGCTGGATTCAGTTAAAAAAAAATTCAACCAAACATTATTGCACAAGGCTATGAAATGAAAAAGATGGTCTCTGGCTTCAGAGAATTAGGGAGAAAATAACACACACATGCTCACAAATCAAGAGCCAAATGAGTTTAGTACCAATCCTAGTTTGTAAGCTGTATGACCTTGAGATATGTCAATGCCTGAGCCTCAGTTTCATTCATCTATAAAATGGGGATAATAAGCCCTTTCTACTTGGGGTTTTCCCCAGAAGCAGACCCCAAAACAAAGATTTGAGTGCAAAGATTATGTGTGGGAAGTACAGGGAGTATCCCCAAGAGAGCAAGGAGGCGATATAAGGCAAAGGAAGGCAGCCAGTAAGGGAGTGTCACCTGGCAGAGAGCAATGAGAGCCAAAGCCACTGAAAAGTGGTTTGAGACCCACTCCCTCAGTATCAGCCCCACTCTGCTCCGTGGGTCATTGCCAGCTGTGGGGAGGGGCACTCATTCTGCAGGTGGGGATAGAACAGCCTTCCATGGCTCCAAACAAGCCTCCAGGCACAGAGAGTCTGCAGGACACATTCAGCACACAGCTGCTCTTGAGTTCTTATAACTCCACTACAAAGCAGAATAAAGAGTAGTGCTAGGCGGTTCAGAGGAGCGGACATCCTGGTGTGTGCCAAGGGGAGCCTGCAGAAATCTTGGCACGGACTTGGCATTGGAATTGTGACCCAGATTTTACTCTGGCAAGAAGAGCGAATTTGTAGGGATGGATGAGAACTGGAGCCTTCAGGGATGAGGGACTGAGATGCAAATGGACAATGCAAATGGCCAGGCTGTAGATGACATCGGAACTCTGACCCACGGTCTCTGAAGCAACCAGCCCAAGACCATCATGACTTGGTCAGAGACTGCCAGCTTCCTATTTTCTCCCCTTTGCAACTCAGGACCAACCAGAGAGGGCCAACGACATTCCCAAATCAATCACATAAGATGCTTGCTTCTCCATGCCAACCGCCCCCAACTGAAGAACACCTGTGTCTTCCTTTTGTCCATCGTGAGGCACCCCCAGTCCCTGGCCTGCCTGGGAGTCTCTGCCAAACAAGGGTGAGAATGGCTGACTCTCTCGCTGTAGCAAGCTCTGAATAAAAATTGTGTTTGTCTTCATCTGGCTGATCTTTGTTATTTCCACAAGGAAGTTGTATAGTCGGCCTTCACTTTCCACATCTGTAAAACGGGCATAATAGAAATGTTTATCTCATGGGTTGATTGTGAAGACTCAGTAAGGTATTAATGCATGGGAAGCATTCAGCTCAATGCCTGGCTCATAGTAGAAGCTCAATAAATATTAACCGGGGGCATGGCCAAGCCCAGATGGGAGGCGAGAAGCTGAAGCTGGTCTTGCTGGGGCCAGGGCAACTGGCTGACACTTTTTTTAAATTGCAGCATAAGTGACATTCAATATCTTGTTAGTTTCAGGTGTATATCATAGTGATCTGTTTATACATTATGATATGGTCCCCACAATAAGTCTAGTTGCCATCTGTCACCATACAAAGTTATTACAATAGTCTTGACTATATCCCACTGCTGTATGTTACATCCTCAAGGCTCATTTACTTTATAACTGGAAGTCTGTACCTCTTAGACCCCTTCACCTCTAGCTGACACTTCTGTGGCCATTCCAGCAGGCTCTGTGCTCCTGCTTCCTCCTGTCTTATTTCTCTGGTGGCCTTTAAATGTATCTGGAGAAAGAAGGCAGTAGTTGGAATGATGACCGCTGGAGCACCTGAACTATCTACCAGAAGTCTTGTCCTGCCTTTATCTGCCCTTGCTCCAGAATGTGAACCATGGACATGGATGGCCAGTCTTTTTCTTTTTTAAGATTTATTTGTTTATTTGAGAGAGAGAGAGAGAGAGAGGGAGAGAGAGGGAGTGGGGAGAGAGGTAGAAGGAAAGAATCTTTAAGCAGACTCCCCGCTGAGTGCTGAGACCCATATAGGGCTCGATCCCACAACCCATAAGATCATGACCAAGGCCAAAATCAAGAGTCAGATGCTCAACCAACTGAGCCACCCATGAGCTCCGATGGATGGCCAGTCTTACCTGATGACATGATACCCTCCTGCTTGGCTTCTGGACAGGCCACCAGCATAATGATACCAAGCCACTCACACTCTTTCTCAAGCTTTCTTGGGAAAGACATTCTGGAGATGGATATGAAGGCTGTCCTAGTTGCTGGTCAGGGAAGGACTGGGTTCAGTTTGTAGCCATGTTGGGGCAAAGTTGACCTATGTTTGGGAGAGTTCCCCACCTTCAGCAAAACCTGTCATACAACTCATTAAAAGTGAGTTAAAAGCTCTTTCCTAACCACACAGCTGGTATATCAAAAGGTTTTATCATAAACCAAGAGTGGAACAGGAAGGTAACACTTGAGTCCTTGAGGTCTTGAGGTCAAGGGGTGGGAGAAAGAAGGAGATACCTAACAGCCGTTCTCCATCTTGACTGGGCTTTGAATCAGCTGAGAAACTTTACATACAGATTCACAGGGCCCACCTCATACATGACTCAGACTCTTGCCAGGATGCAGCCCAGAAATCTGCAGTCTTTTAAAAAGTTGCCCAAACTGGGTGTTATACTATATGTTGGAAAATTGAATTTAAATAAAATGTATGGTTGTTTGAATCTAAAAAAAAAAAAAAAAAAAAGTTGCCCAAATCGATGTACCCACTGTGGAAAACAGTATGGAGTTCCCTCAAAGAACTAAAAACAGAACTACCATATGATCCAGCAGTTTCACCTCTGGCTATTTGTCCATAGGAAAGAAACACACTAATTCAAAAAGATATGCACGTCCCCATGTTCACTGCAGCACTATTCATTCATACAGAAGCAACCTGAGTGTCTGTCCATCGATGGACAGATGGATAAAGAAAAGGTGATCAAATATATGCGATGGGAAATAATTCAGCCATGAGAAATCCTGCCATTTGTGACAACATGGATGGACCTTGAGGCATCATGCAGAGTGGAGTAAGTTAGGCGGGAAGAGACAAATACTGTATGATCTCATTTATATGTGGAGTTTTTTGAAAACAATGAACTCACAGATACAGAGAACAGATGCGTGGTTGCCAGACGCAGGTGAGGTGGGGTGGGTGTGTGAAATGAGTGCAGGTGGTCAAAAGGTACAGAATTCCGGGTTTTAAGATGAGTAAGTCCTAGGGATGTCCAGTACAGCCTGGGAACTGGAGTTAATGATACTATATCACATATTTGAAAGTCGCTAAGAGAGTAGATTTAAAAAGTTCTCAGTGAAAGAAAAGAATTATAACTATGGGTGGGGACTGATGTTAACTTATTGGGGTGATCATTTCACAATACATGCGTGTATCAGCTCATTACGCTGTACACCTGAGACTAATACAAGGTTATATGGTCTTGGTTGCTTCTGCTTTCAGGTATCAACTCGAGTGGAAAAACAAAGACGGGGACATCATAAAGCCTTATATTTGTTCAAAGCCTTTGAACTTTCCAAGTATCACTCCTTCCTTCCATACCCTCCCCCTCCTCTTTCTTCTCACTCCCCCTGATTTTTCTTCTCTCCCCAACCAGCCAGTCGTCCTTCTGGGCTCAGCAAGGTTCCACTCATCTGCTGAGAGGACAGTGTTTCTGGACAGCCATGTGCTGATGGCTGTTCCTGCCAGCAGCTCAGTTCTTCAAGAGAGGCAACTTCTCTTCTTCTCTATTCCCACTTTCTTCTTCGAAACAGACCTGCCTGGAGAGACTGGTTTGGCTGAGGGAGATGTTTTGCTGCCTAAAGTGCTGGAATCCTCTTTTAGATCTTGCAAAGTGCTTGTTCCACAGAATTCCATGGCTTTGTTTCTCTGGGCTGAACCTCTCTAGCTCTTTATCTATTAGGAGTTATCTAACTTCCCAGAATGACAGGTCTGTCAGTTTCCAGGAAACACCATCAGAACACTTGCAGATTTCCTCCTCCTAAAGCTGTGGGGTAGACTCATGGGCTCCGCCCAAATGGATGGTGAGAGGACCCCCTCAAATGCTCAGCCTGCCTCCCTAATCCCCTCCCCCACCGCCAATCCCCCTCCCTCCTCCGCCCCTCCCCCGCCGCCAGCTCCCTCTCTTCTTTGGCTCCCACCCAATCCCATCTGCAGTTCTGCTGCTGCTTCTTTGCCGCTTTCAGACCATCTTTTTTTTGGCTTCTACATTTTCCCATTCCAAGAAAAGATATCCTGTGACTGGCTTTCCCCAGAAATCTCACCATTCTTCAGGCTTTCCAATTTCTTTTTTTTTTTTATTTTCTTTCTTTCTTTCTTTCTTTCTTTCTTTCTTTCTTTCTTTCTTTCTTTCTTCTTTCTTTATTACAGTCACAGAGAGAGAGAGAGAGAGAGGCAGAGACACAGGCAGAGGGAGAAGCAGGCTCCATGCACCGGGAGCCTGACGTGGGATTCGATCCCGGGTCTCCAGGATCGCGCCCTGGGCCAAAGACCGGCGGTAAACCACTGCGCCACCCAGGGATCCCCAGGCTTTCCAATTTCTGAGCAGTGACGAGCTCTATAGAGTATGCGCTTCTTGTCCAGACACTGTGGATATGGCCCGGTCACAATAGCACCCAGTGACCCTTTCTGAGGATCACCAGGACAAACCTCTAGTGGGGTTCAGAATTACTTCTCCCAAGTAACCCTTGGTTTGCTTTTATGTTTAGGACATTGTGAATCATGGGACTGATTGCATTTCTCTTTATATCAGCTCTTTGAGAGCATGCCAGCTCTTGCAGCCTTGACAGGTGCCGTACCTTATCTCTCCAG